GGAACGCTCGGCGGCGGGGCATGGGGAACGCTCGGCGGCGTCGGTCCGCCCGAGACCAGGAACAGGAGGCCCGGCGGCGGGGCCTGGGGAACGCTCGGCGGCGTTGGTCCGCCCGAGACCAGGAACAGGAGGCCCGGCGGCGGGGCCTCTGGAACGCTCGGCGGCGTCGGCCCGCCCGAGAGCAGGAACAGGAGGCCCGGCGGCGGGGCCCGGGGAACGCTCGGCGGCGTCGTCTCGCCCAAGACCAGGAACAGGAGGCCCGGCGGCGGGGCCTCTTGAACGCTCGGCGGCGAGGCCTGGGGAACGCTCGGCGGCGGGACCTCTGGGAGGCCCGGCGGCGTCGGCCCGCCCGACACCAGGAACAGGAGGCCCGGCGGCGGGACCTCTAGGAGGCTCGGCGGCGTGGTCCCGCCCGAGACCAGAAACAGGAGGCCCGGCGGCGGGGCCTGGGGAACGCTCGGCGGCGTCGGCTCGCCCGAGACCAGGAACAGGAGGCCCGGCGGCGGGGCATGGGGAACGCTCGGCGGCGTCGGCTCGCCCAAGACCAGGAACAGGAGGCCCAGCGGCGGGGCCTCTGGAACGCTCGGCGGCGGGGCATGGGGAACGCTCGGCGGCGTCGGCCCGTCCGAGACCAGGAACAGGAGGCCCGGCGGCGGGGCCTCTGGAACGCTCGGCGGCGGCGCCTGGGGAACGCTCGGCGGCGGCGCCTGGGGAACGCTCGGCGGCGTCGGCCCGCCCGAGACCAGGGACCTCCGGAACGCTCGGCGGCGGGAGCGGGGAGCGCGCTGGGGAGCGGTGAAGTCTGATGTCGCCGGGATCTACGTCTCTTCTGTCGGGCAGCGGGCATAGAGCTTCGAGAGGGAGAGCTAGAGGAAAAGGGGATTCGGCTCACCAGATTGCTCTCCTTCATCGGTGAGCCCGGCCTTTTAACGACTCTCGACAACTCGCTGTATAGTGTCCTGCCTGTCCACAGTATAAGCACAGAAACCCCTGCATACGCCTCTGTCGCTCCTCAGGAGTCAAGCGGGTTCGGCCCAATTGCATGGGCTCCTCACCGGCAGTGGAGACAGGAGCCGTCCTGTCTGGGCTGCGGGTCGGTGTCTCAGGAGTCTTGGGGGAAAGAGCTGGGGAAAACGTGAGTCTCCGAGCCCTGACCGCTCTCTCTCTCTCTCTTCTCCGTTCGCACAACCGATTATCAATCTTGATAGCGAGAGAAATTAATTTCTCCAACGAGTCCGGCGCGTCTCGTGAAGCCAATTCATCTTTTATTTCTTCGGATAAATTACGGGGAAAAAAAGAGCCATAAGCGCCGGCTCATCCCACCCACTTTCTGCTGCTAGAATCCTGAATGAATTTGAGAAACTTGCTACGGACTGTGACCCTTGTTTTAGATCAAACAGACGGTTAAGGGCTTCACGTCCTTTAACCGAATGATCAAAAATACGACAAAGTTCATTCGTAAAAGCTTCATACGAACCCAGGAGAGCGGACTTATTCTGCCAGAGGGCAGTAGCCCACTGGGCCGCCTGACCGCGCAACAAGTTTATACAAAATGCGATTTTCGCTTTGTCTGAGGGGTAGCTAGTCGGCTGTAAATCAAACACTAGTTTACAATTTAACAAAAACCGGGCACATGAACCCGGTTCCCCGGCGTAAGGCTCGGGACTTTCGGTTCGCGAACCAGGACAGAGGAGGAAACTGTTTCGGCAGGAGTACTCACGGGCGGATCTGGCGACGATCTGGAGCTGGAAGCGACCATGTTGTCGAGGCGAGATGTAATTCCCTGAACGTTGTGGGAGAAGTTCTGCAGGGAGTCCATGAATCCTTGGAGGAGCTGGTCGTGCTTCCCTAGCAGAACTCCTTGGGCATTCAGAGCCTCTTTGACGGTGCTGGGGTTCGTTGGGTCCATGTTTCGGCCAGATGATTCTGTGACGGCCCGTGTACGGTGGCTGTGCGGGCGGACCCGAACGAAAAGGGGAGGCAGGAGAAACAGGTAAAAAAGAAAAGGTTTTATTAATAAGGGTGAGGGAGTGGAGGTCACCAGGAGCAGGAACCAGATGCAGGAGTGTCAGTCGAGGGGGGTGCAGGTGGAGGTTTGTCCGTGCTGGGATCCGAGGAGGGGAAGTGCCGTCGAGGGAGTGCTGGAGAGGGAGGCGTGGAGGAATCCGAGGACGGTGCGCGCAGGGACGGTGCTCGAGGTGCTTCTTCCCGGTGGAGGTTTTCCCAGTGCAGGTGCTCGTGGAAGGAGAACTCGTGAGGGTGCTCGTTGCGGTGGGCTCCGTGGTGAAGCTGGAGAGGGTTACGGCTGGTGTGGCTCGTGAAACGCTGGAGGCAAACAAAAACACACGAATTACTCGAGATTCGAAAATACTTAAACTTAGTTCTAATGCTTCTCGGAGGAGAGCAACTAAGCGGCTTGGCTGTACCACGACGATGAATCACAATCATCTGGCCCTGGAGATCTGTGACAAGCTTGTATTTCCGGTGCTCCGTTGATGAGCCGATGAGTTGCACCTGCCAGCGCGAGAAAGTCCTCTCCCCTTCGGCTCCGCCCAGCCTGTAGAGAAAACACACGCCCGCCAAGACACAAGCACGGGAGGCAGAGAAAAACCCACAAAACACAAAACAGATTCCATAACCCTCACACATATAACACCAATTCACAGCTTCAGTAATCTTAAGGCCCTTTAAATTGAAAGTTGAACGCCTTACAAGATTATAATACAGAAAGAAACCCGACAAGTCCAAAGATTCACTTTAAACAGCTCTATGGCAACAGTGGGAAAAAAAAAATCCTCTTTAACATGAAGAAACCTCCAGCAGAACCAGGCTCAGGCAGGGCGGCTATTTGCCTCCCGACTGCTTGGGGGTTAGAGTCCAGAGGGAAGAGAGCAGGACAGCAGAGAGAACAAACAAACAACGCACAAGAGAAAAATATACACTGGGGATGTCTGTTAGGCCAGTAACTGCAGATCAGAAATGTGCTAGAGATACCTACAGAGAGGACAAAACACAACAAGTTAGGGACATGCAATGGTAGCATGTAAACGTAGTGGAGAGAGAACAGTAGAGAGGAAAGGGCTCTCGTGGGAAATCTCCTGGACCTATAGCAGCATAACAAAGGGAGGATTGAGGGTCATCTGAGGAAGCTCTAAGTTTTAAACTTAAAAGTAGACAGGATGTCTGCCTCCTATACCTCAAACTGGACTTCTGCAAGAGAGGAGCCTGATAGTGGAAGGATCTACCTTCCATTCTGATTTTGGAAACTACTGGAATCACAAAGAATAATGTGCTCTGAGAGTAAAGTGCTGTGTTGGGATAATATGGTACCATAAGGTCTTTAAGATACAATGGCTCTTGGTGTTTTGTACATTAGGAGAAGGGTTTAAAATTGTATTCTGGACTTTAAAGGGAGCCAATGAAGAGAAACTAACATGGAAGAAGCATGATCCCTCTCGCTGGTTCCTGTCCAAACCCCCGCTGTAGTATTTTTGCCCTGGAGGTTTTGAAGAGATATTATGGGGCATCCTGATAATAAGGAATTACAATAGTCCAGCCTCGAAGTAACAAATACATGGACCAGTTTTCAGCATCACTCTGAAACAGGATGTTCCCGCTGTTGACAATATTGTGCAGGTGAAAGAAGACTTTTTCTATGTGTGGGTTAAAGGACCAGATCAAACATAATGAAAGGTCCTCACTGTAGGGCTGGAGTTCAGGGAAATGGCATCCAGAGTAGCTGTATTCTTAGATAAGAGTGTTAAAAAGGTTCTTTTACAATCAATGTCCTTTATGAGAAATATATTGAGAGACTATTAGCCAAGTTTTGTTACATTACCTACACATGTTGTATTGAAGTTATCATAGATCCCTAAATTCAGTGTTGAATTTACTTTACTATAGCTAAAGATGTTGGATTATTAAACAATTCCAAAGTCTCTGAAAAGCTCCAAGAGGTTAAATCATCACATTAACTCCAACAATGCCCATATTCTTGGTCTGCCGTTATGCACACGTGTTATCTTTGGAGCGATAAAAACCTGATGTTGTTATCATTGGAGAATTCCCTCCACTGGCTCCAACTAGTCAATTGTGTTTTACACACGTTTAATCACTCAGATCAAAACAGTCTTGCTTTCAAGTCCTCTGTCTTAATCTTTATTGTGATGTTAAGGGTTTTTCTTGTTTTTCCCCTCACAATCAGTGTTGTTTCAGCTGGTCCTGGCTTGGTTCCAGGGCAGCTGTGACCGCAGCAAGATTTCCATCCTTTGCAGCATCCTGGAGAGCAACTAAGATAAGTACGTGAGAGAAAAGTGAGGCGCTTCAGTGGAAGGATCTACGTTAACATCTCGTGTTGCAAACATGGAGGGGTCTAATGACAAGCTTTTCTGCAGCAGGTGGTTGCACCGCAGGGTTCCTGCAACCCACCGGGAGGAGCTGCTCCACATACTGAGGATGACTGGGCCACTGGTAAGGATTGGCACTGCTCACATGCCCCCGCTCTGTCTGTAGGAGACTGTGTAGAATGTAGCTGGCCTTGCTGAAAAGCTGATGTGCACAAAAGAAGATTGATGATCATCTTTCTGTGCCAGTGGAAAGGTTAAGAAGTCAGGAAAACAGACTTTCATGTCCGGGACTGAGAAGCAAAAATCAATAGACCCTAAAACAGTGTTTGGCGGCTTTCAGTCACTGAGCAGCGCCTGCGACCTGCCAAAGTAATGGCAGTTTGGTAGCTCATTTGTCAGGACATAGTGCGAGTGCCATGATAATTAACTGCGACTTGTGTTTACTGTAATATCTGATGTGTCACCTGCACCTTTGCTGATGTCTGTCTTTCTAGCTGCTCTCTCGAATCCTCAATTACCTGCTTCCATTTGTGGTTACAATGTTCTGCGGGCGTCTGGGGAATGAAGTGATGGCCGGCTATGGATTAGCTTGTGCTGTAAGTGGTCATCTGTGTGCTGTACAGACATGTGAAGGCTAACACGAGGAAATGACATGTGGGTGAAAAAGAGGGTTGGTGGAGGGAAAATAAAACACACCTCACATGGATAATTCTCTCTCAATCACCTGGGAATGACTTGTAGTGATTCAATCAATGTAAATATTTGCTCTTATGAGTCATAGAAATGCTGCTTACAACAGTGTGCCTTTATTTCAGACCATAAATGTCACCACCACAGCCACAGGATACGGGCTGATACTGGCATGTGATACGCTGGTGTCTCAGGTCTGGACAACCTCTTTGATTAGATGATGTAATTAATACACTGAAATGTTCATCCCCCCCTCCCCCATGTTTGTTACCACACTCTCTGCAAAATGTTAATTATGTTGACAGACATTCGGTGGTAAGAACCTGCTGCGGGTGGGAGTGATCCTTCAGCGGGGCGTCATCATCCTGCTGCTCTTCTGCCTGCCCTGCTGGGGTCTCCTCATTAACGCCCAGGTCATCCTGCTATGTGTGGGCCAGAACCCCGAGGTGGCCAGGTAACTACACCAGCAGCAAAATATGCAGCCATGCTATTGCGACTTCTACCTACCATGTGGGCGAGTTAGAATGATAATCAGTCAGCGCATGAGACTTCATCCTCTCAACAGCAAGACCAGCTTTGCATTGAAATCACTTCTGCTCCCCACTGAACACATTTGTAATGCAAATTCAGGTGCATAAACAGAGATTCTGTATTCCACAGAGTGACGAAAGGATCTCTACCAATTATATAGAGTCAATATCACAGCGTTATTACATTAATTCTGCTCCATTATTTTTGCTTCGATTGTTTAATGTGCCTTCATAAAAAGTGTTTCTGTACCCTACTTGCATGCTAAATATTGTTCTTTTAAGCTGCATTATTACATTCTGGGCACCAGGGTGCAACAAACCTCCAAAAAAAAAGCTCACAGACACAAAACCCAAAGTTGCAAATAGTAGACACACTGGAAAAAAGTGACTCATAGGACCAGCTGAGATGTAGTTCTACAATTGGTAACTCACGATTAAACAAGTTCTTATCAGATTAAGTCACCGGTTTAGGTTAGATGTACTTAAATCACCTGATTCCTCTCAAATGAACAGTTTGCACTGCTGCAGCTTCATTTTAAGGAACTTAAGATTCCATTTTTTTCAACTCAAGTATTCACTTTACCCAAAATGTAAAATGTAAAACATATAAGTTGCTATTAGACGTCATCTTTTCTTTTTCTTTACTCTGTAGATCTATTTTTCTGTTTTAAATAGCAGCTGAGTCACAGCAGAAAAGTGTGAAGACCTTCACATGCACAATGAAGGACAAAACTGTAATTACAATTTAAAAGAATCCACAAAAGAAACACTGTTGCTCCGAGGCAGCTTGTTCATGATCACAGGAAAGTACTCGCTGTAATACCAGATGAACAGTCTGAACACTATAACCCTGGCTTTAATGAATTTACTGAAAAAAATGTGGTTGCCCTAACAAAACAATATGTAATGGAAACTGAGTTAATTTAAGCTAAATGCTTGAACAGCTGGAACTTATTTAAAGTTCAAGAAACTGAACACAAAGTTGATTTGGCTTAAAAGCAAACAAACAGAGGAAGTCAACATTGAAAGCGAGTCCGGTGTTTGCTCCATTTATCCACCGCAAACTCCTCACTATGTGGACTTTATCGCTCTTTATACTTTCACCGGAAAGCCTTTCTGGCCCAAAAACCCTGATGGCAAACTTCTCCTGTATTTTTCTATACGTACATATTAAATCGACAGAAAAACAAGAATTCACAAAAATGAAGGGAAATATGTCGAGGCTAATGACTAACAATGTAGTATTGTTCATTAATTCACAAAACTCCCATGACCCTGTGTTCAACGATACTGTAGTAGTTACTAAAACTAAATCTCCAATTGGGCTTCCTTCACAACTTTATGGAGAAAAAAAAAAGAGGTCCAGTCATGAATAAAACCTAATTATCTTGAGCCATGATCTTAAAGTTATTCATGCTAAACTGAATGAGTGTGATTAAAAGCTCGATTTTATGATTTCAGCTGCTACTCACTGACTTTGTTTTTGGCAGTTTGGTAAATAGAGCACAGTGGGTTTATTGTAATAAAAGTGAACTCTGCTGCCTGCTGCGGAAACTGCAGGACACATGCTTAACAAGATTATAAATGTGCAGGAGAAATACTGAAAATACTCTGCAGAGGAGCTGAGAAGGGAGGAAAGTCTTCAAAAGGTTGAAAGCACATTACTCACAGTCAGCTTTCTTAGTCCTAATTTTAAAACCTTTTTTTGGGGGGGGTGTTTTCTCATTTTTCTTTCTTAAATAAAACATTTCTCCATTTTTTTGATTACAAAAATTGAGATTGAGCTGCTTCAATTTATTTTATTTTATTTTATTTTATTTACCAGGATCTAAAAACACCTTCTTGTTTTCAGAATAGCACAGTTGTATATCACAGCCTACATTCCTGCCGTACCAGTGAGTCATTTCTGTTCTCTCACCTTCAATTTAAAAAAATAAAAATAAAATAAAATAAAAAATCCACACATTTGCAACTATTTTTTTTTGCAGTTTCTATGTCTTGGGCTGTTATATGAATTCTAATATGACTATTACCACCTTATTGAAATAATTCTTCTCTTTAGGCAATGTTTCTGCATCATCTTCAGGTGTCGTACCTGCAGAACCAGGTACCAAATCTAATTCTGCATGTTGATCCAGCTTTGAATCATCTCATTTCACTATGTACTAACACTTTAAATCTTACTGATTGCAGTTTGTTTACATTTAAATGACGGTTTCAGTGGTAGTAATGACTTTACTGGTGTTTTTAGGGAATAATATTGCCACAAATGTACGCTGCTGCGATGGCAAATGTAGCAAACGTGGTGACAAACTACACTTTTCTTTACTGGCTGGATCTGGGTGTGAGGTATGTGCATTTACACATCTTAGTGCATTTTTAATCTGAATAAACTGACATAACAATACATATAATCACTGATCATGTGCATGTCTTACAGTGGATCTGCAGCAGCCAACGCTCTGGCTCAGATCTACATCTCGACTTTTCTGTTCGCCTTCATTTGGTGGAAGAAGCTCCATGTGATGACATGGCGAGGTGAAGGACAGTTGGGCTCAGTATATAGCTGTGACTTCATGAGCTCATATGCTCCTCTGTTCACATAAATGAACGTCTCTCTCCCCCTGCAGGCTGGTCTGTGGAATCGCTGCAGGAGTGGGGCTCCTTCATGAAGCTGGCCATTCCCAGCACATTGATGAAGTGCTTCGAGTGGTGGGTTTATGAGTTGGGGGGATTCTTCGCAGGTAATCCAGCTGCTAGATATTTTTTCTTCAACCAAATAGAAATTCAGAATCATGACTGTACTTCTTTGTTTCTAATGAGCAGGCATGCTGAGTGAGGACGAGCTGGCAGCCCAACATGCTGTGATAATGGTGGCTTTCATAACCTACATGGTACTGTGTTTTCACAGCATTTTCATTTTTTTTTTCTTTGCAATTTAAACCATTTCAAGGCTAAACTCTCTCCTGCACTTTTTCCCATAATAATCAACCCGTAGTTCCCTCTTGGTATTCAAGCTGCAGCATGTGCCCGGGTGGGGAACGCTCTTGGTGCAGGAGACAGCGCCAGGGCCGTCCTCACTGCCAAGGTGGCCCTCACTCTGGCAGGTGAGTCAGAAATGAATCAGCTTACAGTTGTTTCTGTGAAGCTTTTCTGCAGCTCCTTTTGATTTTCCCCCCAGGTAGCATTGCGGTCGTTGAAGGTGCTGTCCTCAGCTCTACTAAAACAGTGATTGGCTTCATCTTCACCTCTGATGAGTGAGTCTGCACAGCTGCATTTTAAATAACTGTAATAGTCATTTTGAAATACTGGTGACACAGAAACTACTAATTATAAAACTCTCTTTTCAGGAAGATCATAGGTCTGGTGTCGCACTTGATGAACGCTTACTGCTTCCTTCAGTTCTTTGATGCTCTTGTGGTGAGTCTTTTTAGTAAACTACCAAAAGTATTCGCATTATGCCACCAAAAGCATGTCAAAATATGAAAAACGTTGATCCATTTGGAAGCTGCCACATGAGAGTGCATAATAATTAGACATTTGTCTCTTTAGGGCGTGTGCACTGGAATCTTCTTGGGCACGGGCAAACAGAAGATACCAGCTGTGGCCAATTTCATCGGATACTACTGCATAGGGCTTTCACTGAGCATCACTTTAATGTTTGTCGCAAAACTAAGAGTTTTAGGTAAATGCACAAAGTGAACCTTTCTCTTAAAAAAAAGCAGTTTTCTAAAGTAAAAGTGTTTAATTGATTTGCGGTTCTCTCTGCAGGTTTCTGGCTGGGATTACTCGTTTGCGTCATTTTACAATCCACCTTATACATCATTGTCATCTTCAACCTGAACTGGGAGAGAATGACAGAGGAGGTAATGTCATTGGATACTTAAGTTAATTTGTGCTTGCATTTAGATAGAGCTACTTAAAGGCGATTCAGAGTAAAGACAAATTGAATCTTCGTATCTGCTTGTTTGCAGGCTGTGAAACGAGCTCAGAAAAACACTCCCTTATTAAGCACTGCAGACGACGTGGGCAACATCGCTGCTGACCAGACAGCAAGCAATGGGAGCGTAAGTAGCCCGTTAATCTAAATTGCAGTTTATATTTACGCCATGTAATTTAACAAAGTAATGCGATACTGTCTTCCAGTCGGTGGATGGCTACATGTCTGTGAGCACCGAGTGCCCCGATGGCAGCGCTGAGCCTCGGGGCGGGGTGCAGCAGCTGAAGGGCGGTGGTCTCTCCACCACCCAGCTGATCCTCCGCCGAGGCCTCACCATGTTTGCAGCGGTTTCACTCCTCGCCGTGGGAGCTACTGTGCACTTCCTGGTGCCCTTACCGGAAATTGCATCTGCAAACTTTACTACAGACCGGATCAACGCTACGAACACCCCTGATTCCATTTTCTCCACCGTGCTGCTGCCCACAGAAGAGTCAGAGTGAGTCAGAGGTAACCACAAAACTTCTGTTTAATGTTTCAAACGCAAGAGGCTGACGAACTCTCTTCAACGTCACTCAGTTCTTCTTGACAGAAATTGAACTGAACACACATTTACAGAAAAAAGTTGTGGTTTAAGAGAAAAAATTTGCCTTCAAAGATTAACTCGTTGATTACGGACTATTTCACTTTTCTGTATTCTCTTCGCTCGCTGCCCAGCCGCTCTCGTGCCTCTCCACTGCCCTGCTTTGACATCCTGCTAGTGTTGCAAACACCGGCATCGCACCGAGCGCTGGTGTGTAAAGCAATTACTTCACTGATTACAATAGATTTTGATTATGTTCATGTAACTAAGTTAGTGATTATCAAGTTTAAAATGATTCCGACAGCCAAGATGAAGAGCATGACTGCCAGAGCGAAGCCCCTACGCAGGACCACGGTCCTGAAAGGGAGCTGCACCGTCACTGTTTCAACCACAGGCTCCTCAGCATCTTCAACCAAGTCAATGGTGTCTATCGGGCCCTCGCAGTTCTCCGAGTCACGTGGCTGGGAACCTGCACACACAGATGCAAATGTCACATGTTTGTGGTTCCTAATTTGGTTCCAACTGAAGCAAAAAACTAGCAAATATCTCATCAAACTGTTCTGTTACTGGTGTTAAAGGAGCACAAACGACCATGAAATTTTACAAAATCTTAAGTTTTGAAAACTCACAATCAAATATTTAGTCAAGCACGCTGATAAACACTTTCAAGTTCTTTTAAAAAATAGTAATTTCCTCTCACAACAGACAGCGAGCCTGTTTGCTAATTACACAGCTAAACTGGTAATGATTATTATTAGCAGCTCAAACCTACTAATTTAGAGATGGCAGCAATTATGGACAGATTTTAATCTGAAGGAAGGTCAGAAAGCTAACTAGCTAGCTGCTCAACATTTTAAGGATCTATATATTCTTGAAATGATCAGCCGCCGTTGATCAATGATTTGTTGGTCAACAAGAATTCTGATAACTGATTAACAGTTCAGCAGTTACTTAAATGGGTCGGTTTTCTGCTTATGTTTATGTTCCTGTACAGTATATTGTTCTGTGTTTGGTTTGTTATTCTGTATATTATTCTGTAATTTTTTCAAACAGCAATCTGAAGGCCTTTTATGGTCAAACTATCGATTTGCGAATCAAAATAGCACATTTGTCGAAAATAAAACTAATTGTTGTATGTGGCCCTCGAATTGATGCTATGTCTACCATTCTCAAACTGGATGACATTTATTAAATAAGACACTAATGACCTTGATATTGGCACGTCAAAAAAAAGTAAAAGACAATATGGGAGCAAAAAATAAATGAGAGAAGGAAGGCAAACTAAATAACAAGAACAGTAGACTGAATATTGAATGAAAGTCTGAACACATGGAATGAAAGTTCAAGATTGTAAATCTGAGAATATTAAATGAAATGTATCTGCTTGAACCCAGTGATGACCCAGTTTTAGTGTCAGATACGTACTGTAAGCCCAGTACAGCGGTCATAGGTAGGTAGAAACAGAGCTTGTAAACTCAGCGTCACTTTTCAACACCTGCCAATGTTTACTGTATTTACAACAAGTGAGTCACTCAGATTATGCTTTTATTTCTTTACTGTGCCGCATGTTTGGCCTTTGTAAAAAACTGAAGGAGCTACTTGTGAGGTAATGTGTTGGCTTCTATAATATTTAACCAAAATCATCTTTCCTTCACACATTACACAGGGTTCTCGTGGCCTGTAGCAACACATCAACTCCGGGGTCAAATACCTTCACATTGTTCTATAACCACACAGCTGACTCCCTCGACTATGACTAACACTATATGACGAGGAAAAAAATTTTTTTCTGAACATATTGCATGCTGGATTTACATTTTCTCCAAAACATATCAGACAGAGTTCTCTC